AAACATGAACTTTATTCATTAAAATGCCAAGTGTATCGGATGATGATTTTATCGAATAACATTATCCTATTAAATCGAAAAAAGAAATCAAATTTCTACTTCATTCACGAGACATGATAACAATATTTAAGAATCAAATGCCTACTACTGCTGAAATAAGAACAAAATACTCCTATACTCTTGCCAAAACTATTGCTCTTGTGCCAATGATGATTTTAAACTGACCTTCACTGGGTTTTCTACTTTCTTGAAGCACCCGCATCAACATGTAAATATTATTAGTGGTTCCAAAATTCACAACTCAGAAATTTGTTGTATTAATCGCTAAACAATACTCAATAACGAAAAAAATACTTCACCTGCACTTTGCTTTCTAGCTAGTGCATCTGAGCAATCTTTCTCTAGTGTCATTTTTGACACAATTGAAACACTTGTTTCAGGGATTTCCATCTACTTTTGGTATTTTGTTGCTCTCATGCTTTTGTTAGCTTTCTTTCTCTACTTTGCAAATTTGTGTTTCGACTTGGAACCAGAAGAGCCACCAAATGATGCATGAGTATCGTCATTGTACCCTCAAGACCACTTTCCCAATTACAACTCTATCATCAACTCAGTTAATAGTATCTTCATCTTATGTAAGTGATAGTCTACATTGAACTGTAAGAGCATATCAAATAAAGATTTTAATACCTTATCAAACCGAGTCTCCTTGATAGATGGTTGCACCCAGACTCCCAGCCATGTTTGAAGTGTACAATCATAGTCAATCTATGATACTTCACAGGCATTATGGATTTCATGTGGATGTTCTATAAGGTGCAAATAGCTTCAAAAGAGCCTTTCGATATTGATGACCAAACATGTCCTGAAGGGTCTGTAGTATGTCATGGGAGGTACTTTGACTCTCAAGCCTTTTGTTGTAACATGTTTGATATCAAAGTCAAAATGTAATAACAAGCCATCTTGTCTGAAGTCCCCCACTCAATGTATCTAGCATTTTGGACTTCTTAGTAGGTCCATCAAGACATCCCCCAAGTACAAAATTAAGTTTTTTCCATATTGAGCATAAACATCAATTACGTTTTCCATCCACGTAATTTTTCCCGATTTGTTGGTTTTGTTTTATAATACAAAAAAAATAGGTCAAGTGATATTTCGCATAAAAAAATAACAATCCATTGCATACTAAAAATGAGCAACGAAAAATAATTTAGCATATGATGCATGAATACACATGTAGATCAATCAAACTTCAATAATACAACAACTACCTGATCCTTGTGATCAAACATGCCGCTCTATAGGAAAGATCACTATGTTCACTAATCAAGTTGCGACCCTCCCACCAGACAGATCATGTCTGACGACAAATGTCTATACAAGTCTACTATTGTTTTATTTGGTCACCAAAATCATAAATGAGAGCCTCTATAGGAGATTCATAGATGATTTCGATTTTAGTGTATAACCTTTATTTCTATATCTAGATACTTGAAAATAATTTCGCCATCAAGCAACTCAAACTACGCGGCCATCCTATAGGAAGTTCCATTGCATTACCAACACAAGGTAAACATGTAACTTTGCTTATGGATTGACAAAGGAGACCATGAATTTTTATTTAAATAAACACCCTTACCCACTCTATATTTTTAAAGTAATGAATTTTAATTTAAAATATTACCAACTATTCACACTAATTTAATTAAGATACAACTTAATTATTACAAATTTTACTTCAAAAAAATTAATCTAAATTAAATTAATCAAGGAAATGTTAAATAATTATCAAATGTTCATATTAATAAAATTAATATACAGTTTAGTTATTACGATTTTTCATCTAAATTAAATTAATCAAACAAAACTCGGTATTCAATGATATGCATCCTATTCTTAGTATCACAAGCGATGTTATAAATAAATCTATATGTCATGATATCAAAAACGATAATATTTCAAATAATAATTTAAAGTATTCATAAAGCGATAAATCAACAATTATTTGTGGCCCAGAAACGAATCAAGAATTAAATTTAAAATATCTAAATCTTCAACCTAAAAAATCTTCAAGGATCCAACAATAGCAATCCAAACAAAAATACCTATAAAAATTAATTAGTTTCAAAACCCCAACCCGCCTGGATTCGATTTGGCACACTTAAGTGAACCTGAATCCAAGATCGATTCAAATCTATGCGACGCACATAATTCGAATTTATGTATACAAAAATATGATGCCATGTGCCTGCATCTAGAAGGCAGAACTGCCTGCCATGCAAGTAGGTTTTTCCTGCGTACCTGTGTTAGCAGGTAGAAATACTGTCTATGTCTGGCAAGCAGAACTGCCTACCACACAAGCAGGTTTTTCCTACCTGCCTGTGTTGGCAGGTAGAAATACTGCCCACATCTGGCAGGTAGTTCACAGGAAATTCTGCCTACCATGCATGTAGGTTTTTCTGCCTACTTCAACATGCTGTTTGCCAGAATGGCAGATTGTCGCTACACAGACAAATTGTTCGCACATGAAATTAAATTTTTTGATTGCTATAATTTCTTGTTGTATCTCATCACATCTTCTAAGTCTTCAATTTTCAGTCAATTTACGATATTCAACAATTATAAGACTTAAATATTACTAAATCATATGTCTCGTAGGCTCACAATTTTGAATATAGTTGAAAGAAAAAATTAAATCAAGATGATGGAATCGTAATCCACATATCTTGATATAATCTCGATATAACAAATTACAATCAAGAATTGCCCACAATTAATTGGATCACAGTTTAAAATAATTCAATAATTCAATCATCACTTAATAAAATATTTCCAAACATCGCTCGACTAGAACATAGAATCAAGATTCAGAAATAACAAGCAAGTGAAAGATCTAGATTGCTCCGATATCAGTTGATGGAATGCGGAAGCGGAATTATCCAGAAATTAAAATTTTCTCTAATTCAATAAATAAGATCGTCTAGATTTTCACGTGTCTATTATATTAAGAATAAAAGATTCGAATTTTTTTTACCTAAATTCGATGGTCAATTCTTGAATTAATTCTAAACAACGAACTTCTAACTTTTTGGATCACGAGTTTTTAGTTCCTTTTTTTTTTAACTCCAAGACCTTGATAATCAAAACCTCCAAATCTTCTATGGTATTCTCTAAAGTCAAGACTACACCGGTGGGTGGGCACTTTCTTTTAATTGAATCAATAAACTAATTTTTGAACTGGACAAATGAAAAATAAGAAAATAATTATCTTATCTCATTTTCTCCCTCCAAATTTGAACACCATAGCATTATGTATTATGATTGTTCTATATCTATCTAGTCTCTTTTTATAGAGATAAGGATGTTCTAATCCATGTACAACAAGGATTCCACATTCAAATAAAAGTTTTAGTTAAAACCCAAATATGATTTTTAATTAAAACACAAATCCAATTAGTTTAAATTTAATTGCACGTGTGGTTCTAGAACTTCAATTTCAACTATAATTAAGTTTACAACTTGTATAGTAATTACAATTAAGCCCAAAACTATTATAATTACTGTAATTAAGTCCCAATACTTTATAGTGCTACTATAGGGACCTGATAAAACATATATTATCCAAGCTCCAATAATTAGATCCTGTCTAGTCGACCATAAAAGACAATAAATCTATAATACTTTCCTATGACCTACCATATATATATTTTACCACCGTTCAAAATTCAATAAATAGGTATGAGCATAAATGACCGTTTTGACCCTCTAATTATTCTTACTAACTTAAATTCCATTTTCTTCAATGGTCTTGTAAACTAATCACAGATGTCGAAGTTTACCCGTCGCACACTGAGTTCATTTTTTAACTGTTTAATAGAAAGTACTTAAATAGTCACTCTACCCATTTTTTAGGCGCAGTTTCCAACACGAATTCATGTTCTTTACTTCGTCATTCTCAAATTTCAAATTCATCGAGATATTTGATCTATCAAATTGATGTCATCTGTTAGTGAATCAAAGAACCAATAAAATTACAAAAAGATATACATAATCTTGTCAAAGGATTTAGGTGAAGTACACGACGATCTAGTGAAATTTAATTCTCCAAACGATCATTCTATAGATTTAAACTTGACACGTGGTCCGTTCAATACACTCCAAGTGTACTAATGTCACCTTGAACTATTTATGTGATAAGGACAAAACACAAACCCAAATAATGAATCGGTCAACACTACAACATTCCACTACAAGGTGCCGACCCTTATACATTGGTTGTGAACAAATTATTTATGATCAAAATATAAGTTGTGTCATATAAGTACCCAACTTATATTATTACAAGTGATCATAAGCACTTTAATTTGCATGCTCAATAAATAAATAAAACTACAATTTATTTATTATAAATTATTATTTTATCATAGCAAAATATACTAAATGGGCACATAACCCAAGTGCATCGATATAATTATACACGCCGTACAATACAAGTGATGATTCTATTCTAAGATTTTTTAAAACACCCTAGCTCGACTCCTATTTCTGGAAATTTGTTATTTTCCCAATTGTTATTGCTCCCAGTGGCTCTGGAAAGTAAGCCTGAGTCTTAGCTGACAATTCTTGTGCAACAAAACGCATATTAGGCCTCGACTGTGGTGAGGCCCGTGTGCATGCTAATGCAATGGTTACTAAAAACACCACTCCGTCTGCTATTTGGCCAGTTGGAGGTGAAAGCCGTTGGTCGAGCAGATCTTTCAAAAACAAATCAGAATTGCTTTGCAATGCTGCTGTTGTTGTTGAGGATGATAAAAAAGATATGAACTCTCCCGGGTGCTGTCCCATTAATATTTCCAATGCCACCACTCCGAAGCTGTAAACATCACATTTCTCAGTAACCTTCATTGTAAGTGCTAGCTCTGCATTTCCATAAAAGTAACTTGTTACCTTCTCTCAAAACACAGGTACAGAAAAATATTCATAGAAAAAGAAGCTATATACTTCCAAAGGGAGAGCAGATAAAGTAAAGCAGAATAAGGAATGGGCAGTNTTACTTCTTCTATTCTTTTCTTCCTTTCCTTTTCATCTTCTTCTTTGTCCTTTCTTTCACTTCTATCTCTCTTTTCTCTCGGTCTCTCTCTCGGTTCTTCTCTCCAGGTGTGTCTCGTGTGTGTATGTGTGTAAAATGAAAAGGGAAAGAGTCTACAACTTGCTAATTAGAGAGGCATTAGATGGTAATTGCAAAGCAAGTCCCCAGCTATCATTAGATGCATAAGTAGATCCTCCACTATAAATCTCATCCATCTCAACTCTCATATATAATCCATTGCAAAATAAACCCCAAGAAAAATTACTTGCTTCACTTAAGTCCTATTTGACCTAGACTTTGACAATTCAACCTTAGACTTTGACTAAAAAAATATGGTTGTAACA